CTGACGTATGTGCAAGCTTTCTTCTATAGCTGCAAAGTTTTGGGTTTTTTTTTTTATCACCTAACAAAATTAACAGTCATTCTTTGGTGCCATTTACTGCCCAGCCCATATCCGATCCTCTTACCTTCCTTTGACAGTTAGTTTGTTCAAGTCAAAATCCAAAGGGGCCACCCCGCCTGCTTGTTGGTTCGTGTGTCTTTTCCAAGTCCTCGCTTTACTGCAGAGCTCGGTTCTTGTCTCATGGACCATGGTGTTCAGGGTTTGCGTGTTTGCTTCCACTTGGTCTCATTTGTTCCTCTATCCCCTGACCTTCCCCAAACCTAGAAGTTCGTGCGAATGACTTCATTAAATTCAGGTTAAACGCTGTGGCAAGCATTCTCTAAACAGTCCTGAGGATTTGGCCATACTTCTTGCCTCTTCTCGTTTCCTCTGCTGAAGTATTTTACGCACCGAGGCAGTGTCTCAGGCCGGTGTCAGCCAGAACTACGGATTCTTTCCTCTGGCGCCCTTGGGCCCTGGCGGGGGAGGGCAGAGTGGGCTAGGCCACAGGGGAGAGCCTGGGGGTGGCTCTGGGCAGAGAGCAGGAGGACAGCCGCCAGTGTCCCTGCGCTGAGTCGTCCCCCATGCTGCAGAAGCCTCCCACAAGTTTTCACTTGTCATATCTTCATTCTCATTCAGTTCAAAATATTTTAGAATTTCCCCTGTGATTTCGTCTTGACCCTGGGTTATGTAGAAGTACATTCATTTCCAAAACACTCAGATTTTTTGTTTTCTTTTTGTTCTTGATTTCTAGTTTAATTCCACTAGAGTCCGAGAATATATTCTCAATTATTTCAAACTATGGAAATTATCGAGGCTTGCATATGATTAGTTTTGGTAAATATTTTATGTGCATGTCAAAGAACGTTTATGTCACCAGTGCTGGGGACAGTGTTCTGTTGGTCAACGAAATCAAGCTTGTTAATTGTGTTGTTCAGATCTTTTATATCCTTACTGATTTTTTATCTGCTTTCAGAGCTAATATGAGAGGTTTGTTAAAACATTAAAGTCTCCCACTTTGGTTGTTGATTTTTGTATTTTTCCTTTTAACTCAGTCAATTTTTGTTATGTATATTTTGAAGTGATGTTATTGGATACATACAGATTTTAAATTGTTATATCTTCCTGGTGAGTGGAAAACAACATATTTGTGTGTGTATAGTTCCTTCTCTTATATAAAATATAGCATAGTCTATGAACCTGCACTTTGCTTACTTACTTCAATTTGTTCCTAAAACTCTACTGCTAAGCGAAAAGCCATTCATTGGGAAAAATATCTCCATCAATTTCAATGAAAACTTGTGATGCCGTCCATCCAACCCAATACCCAAACAGTTTTTACTGATGGAAAAACATATTAATTGACCAATAAATCAAGTTTATATTAACAAACCCAATAATTTGAATATAAAGATACAGTTTATATATACAACTTATTCAATGAAGGATCGTTGTCCTTGTTGTCACGGGTAGTGAGGGATGAGTCATCACTGAGAAAGCACATTTCTTCCTACACCATTTCTTGACTGCTTTTCAACCTTCTGGATTCTCCTATCTTGCACTCAAACTATCTAAAAATAAAGTTATAGCACAGAAAAATTCTTTGAGGGCAAAGCATGTGCTAAACCTGAAAGCAATTTGAAACACATGGAAATAACTTGTGTACTAAACAGTCTGAAGAATCATAGAAGACGCCACCTCTCCGGCCCTCCCGATGGGCACACGTATGCAGAACGAAGGGGGGCGGGGGGGTATCCAAACCTGGCAAGCAATGCAGATTTGCTCCCTAGGGTGCTGTTGGGCTAGAAACTGATATATTAAAGTAAATTGGTGAATGTGCTTATTCCCTGAAAGGTGATGTCAGAACATAATTTGTTATGACATGTTCATTTGGTGCTTTCAGGGGAGAAAAAATCATTAGACTACCATAAAATAGTAGGGTTGTTCAAAACGTGGTGTAGCTTTTTAAGAGCCTTTACGGCAAAAAGTTAATTGAACAATATTTGAGCAGGTAAGTCTGCAGACTGAACCTTACCTGCCTTTTTCCGTGTAAATATAGAATTTTAAGCATGGAGCAGCATGGTCGGACCAAGGTTTTAAGAATTCTTTCTGGCCCTGGCCGGTGTGGCTCAGTGGTAAAGCGTTGGCCATGCCCCGAAGGGTCCTGGGTTTCATTCCCAGTCAAGGGCATGTACCTGGGTTTGGGGTTTGCCCCCCGCCTCCAGTCCAAGCGCATGTGGGAGGCAACCAATTGACGTGTCCCTGTGCCATGGATGTTTCCCTCTCTCTGTCCCTGTGCCTCCCTTCCACCTACCCTTTCTGGCAAGCCTGGCCGGGTAGCTCAGTTGGTTAGAGCACTGCCCCACATGCCAAGGTTGCAGCTTGACCTCGAGGCAGGGCACCCACAAAAAGCAACCAATGACTGCATAAATAAGAGGAACAACAAATCGATGTTTCTCTCTCTCTCTAAAAAAAGCAATAAATAAAAAAATAAAAAATTCTTTCTGGCAGCTAGTATAGAGAGGATGTGGCCGGAGGGACAAGCCTTGGAAGAGAAAGGTCAGGGAACTAATGAACGTGTCCCAGTAAGAAACAAAGAAGCCAGTGGGGCAGAGCTGAGTCCCGACAGAGGCCCTGATGCAGAGGAGAATTCTGAGGATGATAAAGGTGCTTTTCCAAATCTGTGGGGATAATGTCGAGATCATTTCATCTGCGGGGAGAGGAAATAAAGCTGAATCCCTGTTCCACTCCATACACAAAAAAAATCTACATGAATCAAAGATTCAAGCATGAGAAATGAAACAAACGAAATACTGGAGAAAACAATGAACTGAAAAAACATAATCTGAGTAGGGGAGCATGACACAAAACTCAAGAGCCAGAAAGGAAAAGCAATTTGTCTCCATAAAACATGTAGATGCGCGGGAAAATGTCATAGGCCAGTCGAACAGCTAAGTGAGAAATACATTAACATTGACCATTTCTTTTGTATTCAAAAAGCTCTTCCACCCTGGCCGGTGTGGCTCAGTTGGTCGAGCATCACCCTGTGCACCACCAGGCCCCAGGTTCGATTTCCAGTCGGGGCACGTGCCCAGGTTGAGGGTTTGATCCCCGGTCAGGGATGTTTCTCTCTCTCCCTCTCCCTTCCCCTCTCTCTAAAATTACTAAAAACAGGAAAAAAAAAATTTTTTAAACTGTTACAGATGGTTAAGAAAACAAGGTATACTTCATAAAAATGGATAACGTATATGAATAGGCAGTGAATGAACTTACAGTAAGAGGCTTGACCTCACTCATAATTAAACAATAGTTTTGGGACAAATTAATGAGATACTCCTTCCAAACAAGAATGGAAAGTTTGCACGCAATCAGTTGAAGCAGTGCTGGAAGGAATCAGGCCTTTCACTATTCTGTCGGTGGAGTATGAACCCGCACAGCTTCTTTCGGGGGGCTATCTGGATATATCAATTTCCCCAAAAAATTTTTAATGAAAAATTTCACACATGCAGAAAACTTGAAAAAAAAAGTACAGTGAACAACCACATACCACATTTAGATTTTACAACTATCAACATTTTATTTTTGGGTTATCACACATATTATATGTAATATATATTTATATATCTTAAATCGATTTTAGAGAGAAAGAGGGAGAGAGGGAGAGAAACATTAATTTGTATTTCCACTTATTTATGCATTCATTGGATGATTCTTGTATATGCTCTGAACAAGAATTGAACCCACAACCTTGGTGTATCGGGACGACACTCTAACCCACTGAGCTACTGGGCTAGGGCAATATTTATATTTTTATATACTTATATCATATATTACATAAATATATGTATATATATCCACCCATATATATCCATCTATCCATCCATCAAGCCATCTAATATTTTGGTGCATTTCAAAGTAAATTGCAGACATCACTATACTACATCCCTTAACATGTCAGCATACATATCAGCTAGAGTTCTATATTTACATAGTTGTGTGTTTTTTAGGTAAAATTTGCATACAGTAAAACACCCAAATTTTAAGTGGAACATTCAATGTGTTTTTGACAAATGTGCACACCTTTGTAATCCAAACTTCTATTAGATATAAGTTATTTCCATCACCCCAGAAAGCTCCTTCCTGTCCCATCCCAGTTAATCCCCCCAGGCAATATTTTTTATTACAGATTAGTTTTGCTGGCTCTAGAACATTATACAAACAGAATCATACAGTAGATATTCTTTTTTGAAAAGTATATATATTTTTATTGATTTTAGAGAGAGAGGAAGGGATAAATAGATAGAAACACCGATGAGAGGGAAACTTCAAATATGTATTGCTGCAGCCTGCATACCCCAGGCATGTGCCCTGACCAGGAATCGAGCCACAGCGGACGGGCAAGTAGATAGTGCTTTAAGTAAGGCTTTTTTCATTCAGCATAATGATGTTTGTGATTCGCCCATATTGCTGTGTGTGTTGGTTGTCCACTCCTTTTCACCACTGAGTAGTATTCCATTGTATGGATATACCAGTTCATCTTTTCCCCAGTAGATGGACATTTGGGCTGTTTCCAGTTTGGGACTGTTACAAATCAAGCTGCTCTAAACATTCTTGTGCAGGTATTTTTGAGGACATATGTTTTCTCTTGAGTCACTTGGGGGTACATAGCCTGAATGGACGCAGCCCCTCATCCTGGTGCTCACTGTCTATTTTAACTTTGGTACAAACACTCCGTGATGAGCATGTGCTAAGTGGCTGGTGGGGGGTGTGAGAAGGTGGGAAGTGTTTCTGTGGGGAGACCCGGGGGAGGCCTCCTGGAGAAGGGACCCTGGTCCTGACACAGCTCGGTTCAGTGGGAGGATCCGGGGCTCTGGGTCAGACACACCTGCGTGCCAATCTTGTTTCCATGAAAAATAAAAGTCGTTGGGAGCCTCGCTTTTCTCATCTGTGTAGTGGGGATGATGACCCTGCAAGGCTTGATGGGCTAACTGGCTAAAAGGCTGGCGGGGCCACAGCCTCAACAGGTGCTTATTTTGTTAAATATTCCTCCTTTCCTCATAGGCCTGGCTCCTCTGCGGGCCTTCAACGTGGACGTGAGCCGGACCTGGGTGACCCCTGAGTCAGGCGGGCCTTACGTGCTCAGCTCTCTTTTGCACCGAGACCCCAGCAGCAACCAGACCTGGTGAGTGGGACCCTGCAGACAGGCAGCCTGAGGAGCAAGGAGGCCCGGAGAAGGCCTTGGCACCCCACTCCCCCCAGTCTGGGGAGAACCTCCTTGCACTTTCCCAAGGCCCCCCTCCTCACTGCCGAGGTGGGTGTGTGGGGACTTCAAAACTATTTTCTGATAAAGTTTATTAAGGCTATTTTCTCTCTTACAAAAGTACCACATGCTCAATGTAGAAATTTTGGACAGTGACAAAAATATGTTTTAAACACGGAAACTCTGAGGCAGGAGGGAGTGGCAGTTAAAGCAGCTGTGGGTCTGGTGGCCGTGGTTCAGTGGCAGCTTCCCTCTGTATTTGTAGCAACACCTCAGCCCCCAGCCTTGCTTCTCACGTCTCCAATGGGGCGGGGTTCCCCTGCCTCCCAGGGCTGATACAAAGACTACTGAGTTGAGGCATGTTCCTGGTCCAATTAAAGCTCAGTAATGTTATCTTATCTTTTTAAAATATCATCTGTACCAACTCATTAGATGAGCAAAAAGCTAAATCCGATAACATGCTGTTGGTAAGGGTGTGGCTGTGCAGGAACTTTCGAGAACATAAACTGGTGTCACCCCCTTAGAGAACAAGTTTGCCATATGTGGTCAAACGTGTTCTCTGAGGTGGTTAGAGAACACCAGTTTGACCATATATGGTTAGTTTGCCATATGTGGCCAAACTGGGGATGTGTGTGGCCTTGGACTCAGCGATTCCACGCCCAGACACCCGCCCTGGAGGATTTCTCAGGTCAGGGTGTTTATGGTGGCCCTGCTGGGATGGCGACAGGCTGGAAATGCTCATTGTCCTGAAAATGCAAGAAATACGCCACGACTCATACGATCGATACTAGCAGCAGGTACAACGAATGAAACGCGTGCAGTGGTTACTAACCCAGGTCCATCGGCAAGCATATTGTAAGGAGAACGAGGCAAGTTGCAGAAAACAATACAGACAACGGTCGCTCACTCGGCAAACATTCGTGTGGAGCATCTACGGCGAGGCGAGCCGGGTCCTGAGGACACAGTGAGCAAAGCGAACAAAACCCCTTATGCTCAGGGGAGACAGGCAGTAAACAAGCAGGTGAATAGGTACGGCCCCTATCAGATGGTGACGGCCGTGGCGTGCTGATGTCGAGGCGTGTCTTCGGTGTCATCCCCAAAATGACCCTTAGGTCTGCTTTATTTTGAAGCCAGGATGCGGTCATGATCCCTGCGTCGTGTATCGGTGCCGTGTCTCTATAGTCTCTATTAAACTCGAGTGATCCTTCTTCTCCGGTTTTTGTTTTTGGTTTTTTTTTTAAACATTTTTATATGTTTTTATTGATTTCAGAGAGCGGAAGGGAGAGGGGAAGAGAGAAACATCAATGATGAGAGTCATTGATCAGCTGCCTCCTGCATGCCCCCTGCTGGGGATCGAGCCCAAAACCCGGGCATGTGCCCTGACCTGGAATCGAATTACAATCTCCTGGATCCTAGGCCAACGCTCAACCGCTGAGCCTCACTGACCGGCCTGTTCTGTTCATGATGCTTGCAGAGCATTTTCTGTGCCTGCCCTATGACCCAGCCAGGTTCAGGCCCTGCGACAGGCTGGTTCCCTCCCTACCCCCACCCTTGCTGCTTTGCTTTTGGACAACTGTCAAGGGTTTCCTTATATCCAGCACACCCGAGCCGTGAGCCCAGGGTCCAGACAGGCCTTGGGGCCTAGCCAGGTGAGGTGCGCGGGGTTCCTGACTGAGTGGAGCCCACATCTCCCTGAGCTGAGCAGAGCAGGAGCTGTTTGGTGGAGGGTGGGTGGGCAGTGGCAGCTCCTGAGGCCGCCCTGGGGCTTGGGCCAGGGCCTCACCAGCCAAGCAGGCTTGGACCCCTGGCTGGGCTGTGGGGTCCTCATTGGTACAGTGAAGAGGCTGGTGACCATTAGAGTTAAGTGGTGAGGGCAGGGCCAGTTCTTTCTTTTTCTTTTTTCCTCCCTCCCTCCCTCCCTCCCTCCCCTCCC